CCCGTCTAACTTTCTCATGCAAGGCCCGTGCTCCCGTCCCTCGGTTGCACGACACGGTCTGGCGCTGGTCCTCCTCCTCCTCCTCCTTCTCCTCCTCCTCCCCCTCCTCCTCCTCCTCCTCCACCTCCTCCTCCTCCTCCTCCTCCTCCACCTCCTCCTCCTCCTCCCTCCCTCCTCCCCTCCTCCTCCTCCCTCCTCCTTCCACCTCCTCCTCCTCCTCCTCCTCACTCCTCCTCCTCCTCCACCTCCTCCTCCTCCTCCTCCACCTCCTCCTCCTCCTCCTCCTCCTCTCTCCTCCTCCTCCTCCTCCTCCTCCTCCTCCTCCTCCTCCTCCCCCTCCTCCTCCTCCTCCCCCCCCCTCCTCACCCTACCCTCCTTGGGTCGCCTACGTCCCCAGGGAAAACCGCCCAGGGGAAGGCGTGCTGACATGCTCCTCTTCGGCCGCGCGAGTTGAGTGCCCAGGGCGGAGGCGAGGCGTCTGCCTTGCCGAAGCGGGCAATGAACGGCGGCGCCTCTTCACGGGGGCCCTCCGCCCTCGTACAGGGCGCAGAGAGTCGAAGATCGGAAGGTTCGGAAGTCCTCCAGCCGTCTGAGAAGTTTTCTAAGCCTCCCCCGAAGACGCAGAAAAAAAACTGCTCAAAAGGCCGGAGGGCTTCTGAGAAGCCCCGCCGCATTCTGAGAAGGCCTTCTCCTTCTCACTTCCCCCCTCGCTCTCCGCCGAGCACGGATTCGGACAAGAGAAGACAGCATAAACATAAGCATACACATGCTTTCGGATGTCCATGCGGAGTTCTTGGATCGACGCTGGACACTGCTCCCTGGCGCTCGGAGCGCGCCAGAGGTGGCGCCGGAGGCGCCGCCAAGGGGGCCTAGCGCCGATCCAAGGAATCCGCGTGGACCTATGAATTTCTAGGACTTGCTTATCCAGCTGCCTACGGCAAGTCCCGTGCGTGGGTTGTGGGTTATACGCCTAGTGGATATTCGTTGGAATCTCGAGGGAGGCCTCTCGGGTGCCCCTTGGAGGCAGTCCTGAGGCCTCTCGGGGGCCGGCTTGGGGCCGGCTTGGGGGCCTCGTGGGGCCACTGGGGAGCCTCTTGGGGGTCTCCTGGGGGCCTCTTGGGGCGCCTCTTCGGGCCTCCTGGGGGCCCCGTGGGGCAGAAGGCTCGGACGTTCGGTTTATGCTCCCTCTCGGGGCGCGTGTGCGTGTGCGCGCCCCGCCGCCCCCGCAGCCCCCCGCAGCCGCCCGCGCGTCCTCCAGGCTCGAGGCGGCGGCCCCCTCCCCATCCGCGCCTCGCGAGGGTGGTCGTGTCGTCGCTTTCCCCTCCCGTGCCTGGGAGGGCCCCCTCTCGGCCCCAGAGCAGGCCAGTGGGCCCCCCCCCCCCCCCCCCCCCCTTGGGCTGCGAACAGCAGGGCCGACGAGAGCCTCCTGCAGAGGGCCTCATCCCGTTTTTTGTTGTGTTTGTTCTCTTCCTGCTGAGGGCCCGGCGGGCCGCCCGAAGCAGGCCTCTGCGGGGGCAACGCCCGCATCCAGATCTTCGCAAGGAGCACTCGGCAGTCGCGCGGGTTGCTGTATGGCCGCCGTTCGAACTCGCCTCCGCCTTAAGCTTCTCCCTCCTCCTCCTCCTCCTCCTCTCCTCCTCCTCCTCCTCCTCCTCCTCCTCCCTCCTCCTCGCTCCCCCTCCTCCTCCTCCCTCCTCCTCCTCGCTCCCCCATCGTCCCTCCTCTCCCTGCGGGCCGCTCTCGCACTCGGCCTGCGCCCCCCCCCCGCCCTCCACAGGCGCCGGGGCCTGCTCTTCCGCCGAGGCCCCGCCGACCGGCGGGCCGGCGCGCGCGCCGCCGCGGGGGGCTCGGGGGGGGGGGGCTCGAGGCCGCGCCAGCGATCGTGCCGCCTGGCAAGAGAGCGGTGGAAGAGAGTCGCGGTTCAGAGGTGCTCGGACCCCCCCCCCCTCGAGGTGGATGCGCGGGCCTCCAGGAGACGTCGATGGCGCCTGGGGCTGCCAGGAGGAGGAAAAGGAAGAGGAGGCGGGGGAGGAGGAGGAGGAGGAGGCGGGGGAGGAGGAGGAGGAGGAGGAGGAGGAGGAGGAGGAGGAGGAGGAGGATCGGACCCGATCGGATCGAACACGCTGGGGACGCCTGCGCTCCACGCCTCAGATATGATCAAGTTGTTATCCCTGCGACGGCACATAGGCCGAACAAACATGTTGAGCAAATTGAGAGACGGTGCCCCTGCAGGGGAGAGGGCCCCCAGTGGTCCTCCAGGCAGACACCCCTCGGGGGGATGGCCCCCCTGGGGCGCCTGCGGGCACCGACAGTCATCCTCTCACTATCTGTCGAGGCGCGTAGCCCTCGCTCAGATTATGCCTTTCATGCGCAGGATCCCATTCAATGGTTCCGATCTTGATTCAATCGGGCACCTGATGCACCCAAGCTTCTTGCATCAGCGCGTCCATCGCCTCAGCGCTGACGGTAGTCTCGCCGTCCACGGCAGCAAACGAACAGTGCTGCAGAGCGTCGGAAGCGATGTCTACGGGCTGCGCGCTCAGCCGCTGAGACATGTCGAAGTTCTCCTGGGTAACAGATTTCGGCTTCTGACCGTCGATGGGGTGCTGAGTCGACCGCTACATCCGCCAATGCCTCCGCCGCCCAAGCCACCGTCACCGCCACCTCCACCGCCGCCGCCGCGGCTGAATCCTGTCGCTGGACAGGGGCGTGTAGAAGGACGCATACTCCTCGTGGATCAGGTCCTCGGACTTGTGCGTGTGGAGTTGCTCCCTCTCGTGCGAGGCCTCCTGCACCGTTTCCGTCTGCTTCGCATCCGGTGGTTCTCCCTGCCGTCGGGCAGGGACTTGCAGAGTGAGGCGCGCGCCTCGTTTGCCACGTCCTCGGGATCGTGCTCCCAGGGCAGCGCACGCTCGTGCGAGGCCGTCGTTCCCCGTCTCCGCGTGCTTCAGATGCAGGTGGTGCTCCCAGTCAGGCGTGGCTTGGCAGGAGGAGGTGTGCTCCACGTTGGCCACTTCCTCGGACTCGTTGGTGTTGATTTGCTTCCACTCGTGTGAGGCCCCCTGCACCTTCCCCGTCGGCTTCGCATCCGGATGGTTCTTGTTGGACATGCCCTCGGACTCGTTCGTGCTGAGCTGCCCCTCCCTGACGTTGGAGATGGACTTGTGGATCCCCCTCGTTGCCCACGTCCTCGGCTTCGCCGGTGTTGAGAGCTACTCCCAAGCGTGCCAAGCCGCCTTCACCTTCTCCGTCGGCTTTCCATCCGTTTGACCCTCCCATGATGTGGACGAGAATCTGTAGAAGGAGGCCTACACCGCTCGCGCCGGGTGGAGCTGGAGCCTCCTGTCCGCGCGCCGACGCAGCACTGATCGGTCCGCGCAGGGGTGCCTCAGCCAAGGCAGGGAGGGCACGCGCATTACGGGGAAGCAGGTGATCGGCGGCGAGCGAGGGGGGGAAGTGAGAAGGAGAAGGCCTTCTCAGAAGGTGTCGGGTCTTCTCAGAAGCCCATTCGCCTTCTGAGAGGTTTTTGTTGTCTTCGGGGAGGGCTTAGAAAACTTCTCGGAAGGCCGAGGGGACTTCCGAACCTTCGCAGAAGGTTCGGAAGTTCTGAGAAGGCCTTCTCCTTCTCACTGCCCTCGCTCGCTCGCCGCCGAGGGGTGGGCACGCTGTGGGGTGGGGGGGGACAGCGCAGCTGCTGGTCAGAGGCCGCCGCCTGTGGATGGGAAGCGGGCCGTGCAGGGCCCGTGAGGACATGAGCGTGCCACGTCTGCTGCACATCAGAGCAGAGGGGGCGAGGAAGAGGAGGAGGAGGAGGAGGAGGAGGAGGAGGAGGAGGAGGAGGAGGAGGACGAGGAGAGGAGAGGAGGAGGAGGAGGGGGCGGGATGAGGAGGAGGAGGAGGAGAAGGAGGAGGAGGAGGAGGAGCAGGAGGAGGAGGAGGAGGAGGAGGAGGAGGAGGAGGAGGAGGAGGAGGAGGAGGAGGAGGAGGAGGAGGAGGAGGAGGGAGGAGGAGGAGGAGGGAGGAGGAGGAGGAGGAGGAGGAGGAGGAGGAGGAGGAGGAGGAAGGAGGAGGAGGAGGAGGGGAGGATAAGGAGGAGGAGGAGGAGGAGGAGGAGGAGGAGCAGAAGGAGGAGGAGGAGGAGGAGGAGGAGGAGGAGGAGGAGTGGGAGGAGGAGGAGGAGGAGGAGGAGGAGGAGGAGGAGGAGGAGGAGGAGGAGGAGGAGGAGGAGGAGGAGGAGAGCGCGGCCCAGCGAGGCCAGGCCAGTTATCATCGGATGGCTAGGCATGGCGGGAGAGGCTCGTGGCGTTCAACTGAGCGCGGCCCAGCGTGCCCAGGCCAACGGCCAACGTGGCCACCAGCCAACTAAGGGCAGGCACACGCGCAAGAAGGGGGAATCATCGGGGGCGGCATGGGGTGATGACTAGGGGGGGTGGATATCATGGCGGGGGCTATGATGTTTCCCCAGATTTCATGGCGCCTCTTCTTATTTCATTACGTCCCTGGCCCCCCCGCTGGGCCGCGCACATGCCGCCGGTCATGATTTGCACCCCTCCTCTTGGACACCCCCCTCTTGGCCTCTCCCGAAATCACGGACACAAGCTGGGACCTGATCTCCGACATCCTTCCCCTGACTAACTCCCACTAGCGCCTGGAACGTGGTGCCTTAGGGAGGAAAGCAAGGAACAAAAAGAGGAGGAGGAGGTGGAGGAGAAGAAGGAGGAGGGAGAGCATCGGGAGGAGGAAGCGCAGCTCAGAGGCACGAGGTGGAGTCCATGATCCAGTATGGGGACGACGACGAGGAGGCTGATGGGTCGAGTGCTGGTCTGCGTCCGAGGAGCAGGGCATACATCCGTGCCTCTCCTAGCCATCTTGGCTCAAGCCCTCTCGGCCCAGGCTTCGAAGCTGAGAGGGCCCAACGATGCGCACGCTCTGAGTAGCAGGGCGTTTGCCATTCGCCACTGCGGTTCCGCGATCGCCTCGGCCACCAGGGCCAGGCTGCGATGACGCTGTTCAGCAGCCTGCGGCTACCGGGCAGGAAGCAGTCAAAAAATGAGCGGCGCGTGCATCCGACGGAGGAAGATGAGAGTGGTCTACACAGGCAGTCCTCAACGGCCTCAACGAGCTCGGCTGAATTCTTAATGTACCAGGACGGCCACCGACGGCACAACGAACGCAAGAGGACTGCCGACGAGACAGGGGTGACGTCCCGAGACCCGCTCAGACACATGAGCAATGCCAGCAACAAGAGTACGGATAGCCGGAGGCCCGCCGCAGAAAACATGTTGACCCACGTGACGGCTGCGTGGAAGGTCTTGCCGACATTGGTGCCAGGCATCGCCGTGAGCAAGAAGAATGCGCGGGTCAATCTGCTGGTCGTTCGCAACCCCAAGATGTGGTCGCAAGGCGACGAGGACGGAGGTGCAGGCAAACCTGGGATCATATCTTCCATCGACGAGGCTACGGATACGTGCGCTGTTTATTGGTACGAGTCTGGACAGGTCCACGACCATTACAAGATCGACAAGATGGGCCAGCTCTGCAAGCCATGCGGCGATATCCCAGAGTCGCTTGGTGGGAACGATGGGCTGGCAAGCGCAGGGATGGCGCAGTGCGCCAAGGAGGCCCTGAGGACGCTCTTCGGGGGCCGCGGCAAGAAAGGACACCAGACAACCACCCCGATCGAGCGGATTGGCCGGCGCAACTCCAAGGAGAGCTACGCGGAGAAAACTCAAACAGCTATCATATTTGACTGGGACGACACCCTGTTCCCAACCACGTTCGTGAGGCACGGTATGGGCCTCTCCATCAGGAAGCACCTGAAGGACCAGAACCTTCGGCCCGAAGTGATGTCGCAGGTCAGGGCCGCGCTGACGAAGTCCGCGGGCGCCGTCGACCAGCTCCTCCGGCTGGCGGACAAGCGCGGGAAGGTCTCGCAGAAGAACGCTCCGTGCGGGCAAGGACGCTCGGAAGTCCGCGCGGCCTTCCTGGATCGGCGCTGGACCCCCCCCCCCGGCGGCGCCCCCGACGCCGCCCGCGGCGCGCTCGGCGCGCCAGGCAGGAGGGTCCAGGGCCGACCTGAGAACACCCGCGCGGACCTCCGAGGGTTCCGATGCTTGTGCAGATGGTTCTTTTTTCTTCAGGAGGGGAAAACACACACACACACACACACACACACACACACAGAGACACCATTCATCGTCGACTCCCAGGAAACTGTGGGAAAATATGGGAAGTGCGGGGGGGAAGACGAGAACACAGAGCATATGGCAGAATCTGGGGAATCCGGTTGCCTGCGTCTATTTATTTGTGTGCCCCAGGGCCCCCTTCAATCCTGTTGTTCCTCCTCCGTTTCCCCTTTCCCCCCTCCCGCCGCCAGCGAAGGGGCCGCCAGACCCCACTCTCAGAGCTGCTCGGCGCCCCGCTCTGCGAGCTGCCTCCTGGGCGGCGGGAGGAGTCCCACGCGGGGCTCGTCCTCCTCCTCCTCCTCCTCCTCCTCCTCCTCCTCCTCCTCCTCTTCCGAGGTCGTCATAGTCACCTTGGCCAAGAAGCCCTGGGTCACCGACTCCTGCAGATCCAGCCGCGCTGCCGCGCCTCCCCGCCGCCGCGCCCGCTCGAGCTGCGTGTGGCGATGCGGCAGCGTGCCTCGCGCCTTGCGTGGCATCGTGGTCGCGATACCTCCTGGGCGTCCCTGGATGGGCCCATTCCCACCACCACCTACCATAGGTAGCAGAGAGGAGGAGGAGGAGGAGGAGGAGGAGGAGGAGGAGGAGGAGGAGGAGGAGGAGGAGGAGGAGGAGGAGGAGGAGGAGGAGGAGGAGTGGAGGAGAAAGAGGAGAGGAGGAGGAGGAGGAGGAGGAGGAGGAGGAGGAGGAGGAGGGGGAGGAGGAGGAGGAGGAGGAGCAGGTGGAGGAGGAGGCGGAGGAGGAGGCGGAGGAGGAGGAGGAGGAAGTCCTCATCCTCCCTTCTCTCCCCCGTCCTGCATAACATGGCAGCGGTGATGGGAACTCTGCCCACCACCCTCTCCGAAGAGCGCGGCCATCGCGCACTGCACGAACGAGATCGTCCAAGGGGCGCTTAGGCGGGACGTCTCCTTGCAGATCCCGCCGCGCTGCCGCGCGCCTCCGCCGCACTGCGCCCGCGGAAGCGGGGCGGCAGGGCGCCGCGCGAGCTGCCTGCGCTGGTGCACCGCTGTCGCGATGCCTCTCGGGGATCCCTCTCAGAGAGCGCTCGGGGGTGGACAGAACCCCCAACAGTGACACGTCGATTAGTGAATTGTCCGTTTTCGGTTCTCGAGAGGGCGCCGTGGCCGTTATTTTCCAGGCTTGCGCCCGCCAGGTTTGGGCCTCAGGTCGTTTTCACTAAACCACGTTTTACTAAAGGGGGGTCTGTCCATCCCCGAAGCGCGGTCCTCGCGCACTGCGCGAACGGGGTCCTCCAGAGGCAAGGCGTTCGGGGACGCTGCGGGGGGGCGTCCCCGGCAGCGAAGGACGGGCAAGCAGGCATGCAGGCACATGCTCTCGAAACTCCGCGGCGGATCTCTTAGATCGGCGCTGGCCCCCCTCCCTGGCGGCGTCCCCAGCGCCGCTCCTGACGCACTCCGCTCGGCAGGGGGGGGATCCAGCTCCGAGCCAGGAAATCAGAGCTCCAGACTGGATGAGGGTGGGGCGCTTTCGGCCCTCAAAGAGCTTGGAAAGGAACCGCTCTTGTTGCTACACTCCTCTTCTCCATTCTTCTTCCTCTCATTTCATCCTCCTCTCATCCCCCCTCCTGCTCCGCCTTCCTCCTCCTCCTCCTTGTTCCTTCAATCTGAATCCGCTTCTGCAGAACCTTGCCAGGCGTTTTTTTGTTTTTTTTAAGTCTGGGAGCTCGGAAAACCTGGCCAGGCGTTTTTTTTTCTAGTTTGGGAATGCAGAAAACATTGCCAGGCGTTGGTTTTTCTGTTTTTTTTGGTTTGGGAGCTCAGAAATCCTGGCCAGTCGTTGGTTTTGATAGTTTTTCTGGTCTGGGAAGCCCACAAAACCTTGCCAGGCGTTGGTCTTTCTGGTTTTTCTAGTCTGACGGCCCACAATGTGGCGCTGGTGGCAGACAGATACAATCTCAAACTAGTGTTCGGTGGAGCAGACGGACATGCCACGACGGGCCTGGCAGAGAGAGCTATTCAGACGCTCAAGCTCACGGCCCTCAAGACGAAGCGCGACGTGATCAAGCAAGGTCTGACCGACATCAGTGATGGAAATATTGTGGAGGAATCAGCTATGGTGGCTAATCTTTTCATGAACTACGGCGGCTCGGTACCGGCTCAGGATCTGCTCGGCTACATGCCGAAGGACGCGTGCGATCCCGAGGCTGAAACATTGACGGCAATTCAAAGCGCAACGGATCTCACGCCAGACCCGACCGAGCAACATCTACGATTGGGGCTCCTGGCAAAATCCCATATACTGCAGGCCATCATTGAAGAGAGGATTGCCAAGGCCAACAATACACGACAGCAGTCTCAGGACTCCAAATGGACCGAGACACTCAAACCACATGATCAAGTGGACATATGGCGAACACCAGCTCGGAAATATCAAGATGGCTGGCGAGGTCCAGCAGAGTTCATCAGCCTAGATAAGGACAAGGCGGCGGCCATCGTGATTCACCAGAATCAGCCGCACAAGATACCGACGAGGCACATGCGAGCACGACGAATGAGCTTTTATGTCTTAGGCACCTCCTGGGACAAATATCAGGTGTACCTCGGCAGCGGCAGCACGATGAAGCTCACGCAGTTGTTTGAAATCATAGAAGGGGCCCCTCCGGGCATCGTGTACCGCATGGGCATCTTCAACGAGCAACCGACGCCACCTGAACTACTGCAGGAACCACCGCCGACATGGCAGTTGGCACAGAGCGTTGGCATGACCATCTTCCGGATGACTAGTGTTGATGGCGTCATCTATGGGCAAGGACATCGGCAGCTCAAAGGTCTTGGAGAATTCACCCATGGAGTGCTCGTGGCCTGGCGCGATCGACACCGAGAAGACTACTACAGCAGTGATATCGATCCGACCCAGTCGATCAACATGGTGAAGTTCGTAGGCGCCGATTGGGACAATTACCATTTCCTACTATTGCTTTCCAAGCATCGTTATGCTGACGACAGCCCGGGCACCTACGTCGATCCAGACCTCAGCGACATTCCATTTCTCGACGACGATCCCTATTCTCCACCTAGCTGGTTGCCACCAGCTACGCCGATCGAGATGGAAGATCACGCCAAGTCTCCGATGTCTCCACGGGAAGATCAGGCAATATCTCCCACGAGAGGTTCAATGGATCTGACGCCATCTTCCATGGAGAATGCAACGTCTCTGCAGGCAGTATCACCTATTCTGAAGAAGCTACGCGGCGTGATTCAGACAATCGTAAAGCAGAAGACTAACGCTACATCGTCAGCGACTCGAGCAAAGACGACACAAGATCATGCAGCAGAAAAGGAACCTACACAACCTTTGGCGTTCCAAGGACAACCAGCTCAGCAACAATCTGACGATTGACTGGAACACGATCTTAGTGAGGTGATGGACGACGTGAATTTTGAAAAAGAACTGAGCAAGCTAATGAAAATGGATGCTGAAGTTGAAGCCCTGGAGCGCAGCGTGGAGCGTGGACCCATACGTCAGGCACATCAACCAGCACAAGTACCATCAAGATTCATTCCACAAGGAAGCCGATCACGATCACACTCACCTCGACGGATCGGATCAGGGGCAGCATCAACATCAATGCAGATCGACCCCGCAGCTGAGCCGGATAACAGCACCACACGGACACGTCAAGAGCCAAGAACGCGAAAGGAGACCGAACTAGACGACAGCATCATTGACCTCAGACATCAACGAAAGCAAGCACGACCTACTGTAGAACCATATCGACCGCTAACCGAAGTCAATCCACAGCCTGTGCAGGTCCAACTACCTATTCAAGGTGGTTCGACAGCAGAATCACAGTCATCTCCGCAGAGAGACATGTCTCTCCATGAACAAGCACCTCCACCTGTTCCAGATGAACCAGCAGTTTCCAGTCCCATAGGTGATCTTGTTGCGGAGGACCTCATAGGTACGAATGACACCCATGACCTTACTGAGGCGCTGGGTGAGTTGATGGAGAATCCTGAGGACGAGTCTCTACTACCTCTTCAAGATGCAGATGCGCTATACACGTGGTATGCGGGCCATTCGGCAGACAGATCAGTCATCACGCCGACAGAGGACTTGATAAAGCTCTATGATATCAGTCACTTTCCTGACAAGCTCTATTCAAGCTCCCCGGAAAACACCGCGCATCACCATGCTACCGCAACACTTTGGACCACGACAGATTCTTGCTGTATCTTCAAGGGATTGCACAGTCATGGACCATCGCGATGTTTCTACCTGGACCTGATGGAGCACGAAATGGTGGAGATCTACGCGTCCCAAGCCGAGCAATTTATTCGGGAATCTGAGTTCGAGAGTCTTTGGCCACAGATCGAAGAAGCCGATCACAAAGAGATCCAGAACTATGTCAAGCACGACTGTTTCAGGCCCAAGCTGAAGACGGAATGCAACAACGCCAATTTCATAGACGCTACTTGGGTCAGACGCTGGATGTGGAGAGAGATGTGGGTCGCGCGACGCCGACTTGTGGACGAGGCTTCTTGGATAAGCAGAAATGGGCAGTGGACAGACACTCCTTCACGGCAGCAAGAGTATCACAACGGATGATGGTATCCATTAGTCAGTGCGAGCCAGGCTCTGTGACAGAAAGCTGTGATATATCGTCGGCCTTCATGCGGGGTCTGAAGTTCAGCGAACTGCCCGAACGATCTCGCGAGCTTGGACTGGATGCACGCGAGAAGCGCGAGGTCTACATCGCCCCTCCTGCAAATGTCTGGCGCCACCTCAAGCAGTTATCTGAACTGTTCGCAAAGATTCCAGATGATCGGCTACATCTTTATGTTCTTGAATGTATCAAACCAGTTCCTGAACTCCACATCAAGGACAACATGGCGGGCAAGCGAGCACTACTCGACGAGAACTGTTTCGCGTGGCACGACGACAAGACGGGGAAGCTCACACTGGCCACGACAGTACATGTGGATGATTCCTTCCCAACAGGCAGGCGGGCGTGGTTGGACTGGGCACGTGCGTTACTGGAGGAGAAGTTTGGAACAAATCACAAGGACAATCATGTCTTTCACACATCTCGGCTTCGAGTACCATCGACTCCAAGACGGAACATTTTCTTAAGTCAAGATGCCTACCTGGACACGATCGAGTCACCATCAATAGACAAAGACAGGGGCAATAATGATAATACACCCTGTACGACCACAGAACACCATCAGCATCGATCTCTACGTTGTCAACTACTGCATCTTCTTCAGACCAGATGGGATCTCAGCGCAGCGACGACTCAGTTGCAGACGAAGCAGACAGCCCCGACGATCGGGGACTTCAAGCAGTGGAAGAGCGCGCTGGAGAAGGCAAAGAAGAACCGAGACCGAGCAGGACTATACTATCGCAAGATGACCGGACCCTTCAGATTGGTTAGTATCAATGACGCAGCGCACGCAACCAAGACAACATTCTACGCCCATGAAGCTCAAGGATTATTTCTCATGGAGGACAGGAAGATCGAGTACAATCGTTCTGGGAACATATCTAAGATATCATATGACAGCGTGTTTGGTGCAACACACCCATTGGTTGGTCAGAGCAGGAAGTCAAAGAGAGTATCATATTCAACGAGTCATGCAGAGACGGTCGCAGCAGTTGGTGGATCACAGACAGCACAGTTCACGGCATTACGGTTCACTGAGATGATTGCGAGACCTATGTTGGAGAAAGCAACTGGCAATGTATTGCAGAACTTGGTGTACATGCAGGACGAGGGCAGGTCAATCCTGCCAATCGATATCATTACGGATTGCTACGACCTATTTCAACTCGTGACAGGAACGAAAGGACTACCAGTGGACAAAACACAGAGACTCAGCATTTTGAGTTTACGAGATGATAGACTATCAGGACGAGTTCGCAGATTCTACCATTGGCCGACATAAGTGATGGTGATGGACAGTTTGACGAAGCAAGGCATTTCCTCAGATGCAGGACTATCTTATTTTTGGAGTGATACGATACGAGGGTTTGTTGAAGACAAAGAACGACATCGAGAACGCGATACCCGTCAGGGAGATCAAGGCGAAGAGCGAGTTCACGGAGGACGACCTGGTGAACATCAAGGCTTGACGAGCCTCCCTTCTTAGAAGCACAGAATCAGAGTGAGACTATCCGTAGTGAGGGCCCTGGTACGAAGGGCGAGCTATGCGTATTTCACAGGTGTTTCAGAGGCACCCTCCGTCGTCACCGCCGGATAGGGCAGAATGCCCTGGCTGCTGTTTTTTTCCATAGCCACAGATCGTAATACTGTTGTGGCTCAAGGCGAGTAAAATGCCCGCTGGAGGAGGAGGAGGAGGGGGAGGAGGAAGAGGAGGATGAGGATGAGGAGGGGAGGAGGAGGAGGAGGAGGAGAAGGAGGAGGAGGAGGAGGAGGACCCCCCCGTCCAACGTATGATGGTGGTGGTGGTGGTGGTGGAAAAAACGCCCATCAGTGTTGGACCGCCCTGCGGCCTGCGGAGACTCGGCGGAGAGGCCTGGGAGATCCTCCCGAACCGGGGGACGGGGAGGGGCCTCGGGGCACGAACCGCCCCTCCGCAAGCCACACGCTGGCCCACTGTCGGGGAGGTTGGCGGCGAGCGCGGGGGGGGGAGTAATTAGGGGAACGAGAAGTGACATAAACATAACAACTCGGAGGTGCGCGGGGAGTTCTCGGATCGGCGCTGGACCCCCCTCCCTGGCACGCGGAGCGCGACAGGGGAGGCGCCGGAGGCGGCGCCGGGGGGCCCCAGCGCCGATCCGAGAAATCCGCGCGGACCTCTGAGCTTTTATGTTTATGCCACCTGTTGTTGCCGTAGTAATTAAGGAAGGGCGGGCCCTCTCGGAGGGCTCGGAGGTTCCCCTTCCTTCTGAGCAGCCCCGCCGCCTTCTGAGAAGGCCTCCCCCTGCTCGCTTCCCGCCCTCGCTCGCCGCCGGGCCTGGTACGATGAGGGGGGAGGAGGGAACGCGGGGGTCACGAAAGCTGCTGCGTGCAGCTGGTGTCGGCTCCGCCCTCTGGGCGCTCTCTCTCCCCGGTGCACGGCGCCTCCTGCGCTGGGGGGGCGCTGGGAAACCAGCTGCACACAGCTCATGCACCAACCCCCCCAGCTTTGAGTCGGGCGTGTCCCTCTACAGGAGGAATATTCAGAACTAGTCAAAGAATTGCCTGGGGACGATCAGTCGACTATGTTTTGCTAGGTTTGAATATGTTTTGCCTATTTTGGCTTTCTTCGAAGACTCGCCTGTAGCAGGACATGCCCGACCTAACCCCAGCTGATGCGCGCCACCCCCCCGTTGCCATCTCCCCCCCCTGGCGTGCGCGCCGGCTGGCCCACGGCTCAGAGGCGACGATAGGAGCAAATAGCCCGGGGGAGGGCAATACATGTGTCCAGGGGCGCCGGTGACTGCGTGTAATGCCCGCCCCTGGGCTACTCGCCCTTGTCTTCGCCGCTGGTCCGCTGCAGAGGCTGGGCGTCGATGGGATTCGTCGGTGTCGGGGCTCAGGAGACGGGGGTCAATACAAACGGGGATCCGCCAGAGCGCCCGAGTTTGCAGGATCCTGCAGGGCCAGGGCCGCACTGGCCCGGGCTTGGGTGCAGGATCCTGCAGGATCTTGCAGGATCCTTCACTTTGGCCCGGGTTTGGGTGCAGGGTCTTGCAGGATTCTGCAAGGCCTGAGTGGCCCGGATCTGGATTGACCCGGGTCAGAAGATCCCCGATCCCCATGAGGTTCAACAGAGTGGATGCGCGCCGGCGTCGATGGGATTCGTCGGGGGCATTTGCGCCGCGAGTATCGAAACAAGCGTACAACAGCAAGAGGACCGACATACCAAACGCGGCAGGGTTCGGCGGCGGATATTTCTACCCTGGGATCGGCGAGCTGATCAGGAGGCTGAATATCCAGATTGTCTACGCGCAGGATGGCCAGCACATAGAGTACAACAAGGTGAACATGATGGCAGAGGACCAGTTCGAGACGTTTTGGGCCGAGATGAAGGGCAAGGCCATTGCCAGGGCGCTTAGCGAGTTCTACTCTCAGTACGAGGGCCAGTCTTGGAAGAACATCATATCCCTGGGGGACTCCGACTTTGAACGGTACGGTGCGATGGCAGCGACTATGCAATACGCCGTGAGGCAGGGCCTGGTCAGCGAGGCGGATATTTTTCCGGCCCGAAAGGCAATGGCGACGAAGACGCCGCAGGGCGCGGTAGTCGAGGTGGGCTCGCAGTTGTCCGTCTCGGACGTCAAGCACCACATCAACGTGAGTAGCGGGAGGCGGATGTCCTGGGAGGGCACCGTCAATGGCCACGAGTTCAAGGTTCGCAATGAAGAAAGGGTGTCCCAAGGTTGTCCTCTGGCTTCGGCTCCAGAGCCCTTCCCGGGCCCCGGACAGTGAAAAAGGCTGCCTCGGACGAGCAAATGGTCCTGGGGGAAGCCCCTGTGTCAAGCACCCGCTTCCCTTCGGACACCTTTCCTGCATGCCAAAAGGTGCGGACGAAAACATTCAAGATGCTGGACGATCCGACGGTGGAAGAGCTCATGGTGGAGCTGAGGCTGCTGCAGCAGTGGCTCCCCATGATGGTGAAGCTGAACGACAGCTTCGACGTCGACCTAAATTGCCTTGACGACAAGACGCACATAGACAAAATCGAGAACACGTTGCGACTGCTGGAGTCGTGAGGCTGCCCGTGCTTCCTCCCCATCCTCTTGTTGCGAAATGCCTGTGAGCTCGGCCGCGATGTTAAGTGGCGGGATCGGGTTTCTCTCGCGCCAGCCAGCACTTCGGCGAGTGCGAGGAGATTACGTGCATGTGGATTAATCGATTCGTTTTTGTTTATCAGTTCGCTTGGTCCTCTGTCCTCCTTCACTCCTTCCTATCCCGAGGTGCGCGTGCGCCCTTGCATTTTAATATATTTGTTTGGCTGGACCCTTTCTTCACGCACAACTTATCTCCGTTCGGGCCGCTCCTTCCTCGTCTTCCTCTTCCGCCTCTCCTGTCATCTCCTCTCCTCCCTCGTCCTCTTTGCCGTCCCTTGGCGGCCTGCCCGCTGAGGCTGATTTGTTCAGGATGCTGCCTGGGCGCTGGCTGAAGTTTACTCGCGATGCTTCCCCAGCTTGCTCAGATTTGCTCGCTGAAGTTGAGGTTGCTTTTCCCGCTGGCGATGCTCAATGCTCCCAGGATTGAGACCGTCCCCGCTCTCCTGTATATCCCCGGGGGGGTTGGAGGGAGGGACGGGGGACCTGCGCGGGCCCGGGGCAGACCTCACCCCCGTCGGGAGGAGGAGAGAAGGAGGAAGAGGAGGAGGAGGAGGAGGAGGAGGAGGAGGAGGGGCCCAGAGGTCTCCGAAGATCCCTGGGGAGGTCCTGGCGTCACCTTTCTTCGTCACGCATTGGGCGTGCGCGCCTGGCTTCGGACCCCGGGGGCGCCCACAGATGGAGCTGGCGCGAGGCACTGCCGGTGAAAGATTGGGGTCCACAAGGCCCCTGCGGTGATACCTCGCGGCGTTGCGCTGTGTCACGGGGCTGGATCTCGGGGATCTCGGGGGGTCTCTGAGGGCTTGCCAAAAACCCCAGAGAGGATGAGGAGTTCCCAGGGCCCCAGCAGAGAACCCGACGACAGCCAGAAGAAAAGGGACAACATGTTAGCCACCGTGGACCCCAAACAGTCTGTTCTTGCAGTCTATGCGGTGTAATCTATGTGGTGCAATGTATGGGAGGCAACCGATGTGCGTACCGCAATCTACGAAGTGCAATATATGTGGTGCAACCTATGTGGTGCAATCTACGCGGTGCAACTTATGTAATGCAATCTATGCGGTGCAGTCTACGTGGTGCAATCTACGCGCTGCAACCTATGCAATGCAGTCTATGCGGTGCAGTCTACGTGGTGCAATGTATGCGATGCAAGCTATGTAATACAATCTACGCGGTGCAATCCATGCGGTGCAATATATGTGGTGCAATTGATTTGAACAAGCGAGTTGACACATCCCATGCTCTTGTAAACATCCCACTCACCCACCTGCAATTTGGTTTGCAAAGCCCATGCGGTGGCGATTGCGATGCATCACGGTCAAAGCTGATGCTCACCGAACAAAATGGGTGCCTGGAAAACGCGGAGCTTTATCAAAGCGAGGCACGGGTCTGTTCTTTTTCGCCACCGAATGAAAACAAGCCAGAACAGTATTTAGTATACGCCAACAACGGTTTATTCAATTCAAAAACAAATCGTCTAAATCCGGTGCCGTTTTTCTAAATCCTTGATATTTTCATTACCGCGACCTCAATGCAGCAATCAGATATATGATCGTACAGTTTTATGTGTAGCGCCCGGGAGGAAGCCCAAACACATGCAGCACTTTCTGGTTGGAGGTTCCGCCCGGCCACGTGGGGGGCGCCACGCGAGCAGGAGCAGCGCGGAAACGGCAGGACAGTGATGGGGGGCGGAAGGAAGCGAGCGGCGAAAGCCATGCACGCACCGACGCTGGCCAGGCCCATCCTGAAGCCCAGGTTGGGTGTATAGCCAGGAAGGCATAAGCACCGATCCTGGGCCCAGCATGGGCCTGGCCGGGGCTCGCGTGTCTAGCCAGCGTCTGCCAGAGAGGGAGTGGACATGGGGGAAAAAGGGGGGGTGGAAGAGGACCAGTGTAAACCCAAGACGCATCAACGATGTTTTCATAGTCCGTCCCTCCAGGTGACCGTTAGCGGGAAGTGAACCATTAAAAGACAACCGTCTGAGAATCCTCTATGATGCCAAGCCACCGTTCCTGGTATTTCAATGCCGTCGATCAACGTGACGGTTGCGTCCTGGCAGTCCTGAATCGCGCCGAAATGATATTCTTGGGGCTCCAACGCCGCTGCTCAACTCGTCTGCGGCGTCCTGATAGTCTCAAGCCGTGCCAGAAAACCATTCCTGGGACTCTTGCCACACGAACCCTTGAGAGTGCAACAGTTGTGAACACGAGCGCGCGCGGCGACACTGCGAGAGTCAGATTTTGAAGAGGGCCCGCCCTCCAACCGTGAAGCTGCTCCACGCTTGTACGACGAATGCGCGAGGCGATGCGGCGAGAGCCACAGTTTGAAGAGGCCCCGCCCCCCACCAGTGAAATTGGTGCAAACGTGTGAGACGAATGTGCGCGGCGATACTGTGAGAGCCACATGTTGAAAAGGACCCGCCGTTAATCTGTGAAGCTGCTCCACACTTTCACGGTGAATGTGCGCGGCGCTGCGGCGAGAGCCACATTTTGAAGAGGCCCCGCTCTCTACCAGTGAAGTTGTTGCAAACGTGTAAGGCGAATGTGCGCGGCGATACTGCGAGAGCCAGATTTTGAAAATGGCCCGCCCTCCATCCGTTCAGGTGTTCCATACTTTTACGACGAATGTGCGCGGCGCTGTGGCGAGAGCCACATTTTGAAGCGGTCCCGCCCCCCACCAGTGAAACTGCTGCAAACTTTTATGACGAATGTGCGCTGAGATTTTGCGAGAGACAGATTTTGAAGAGGTCCCGCCCTCCATCCGTGATTTGCTTGCAAATTCCCAGCTTCCGGATCAAGAATGGCGAGGAGATCTCAGGCGAAACGCCCAGCCCGCCCTACCGACACGTCTGGGGGTGCGACAAGGGGGAGTTGTTGGAAAGGGACAGTGGATGGGGAAGGGGCGTGAACACGCGCGCGTACCATGCGAGTACCTCGGATAAGAAATGAGAGCGCAAAGCGTGCACAGGGTTGAATGTGTTTTTAAGAGTTGGGTGCGCCTGTCGCTGCCCATTCTGCCGCGAAAGCGTCCTTACAGTTTTCACGCCATGGCGCAGATTGGGGCCCAGTGCGCACACTTTGCTCTGCTGGGAACTCAGCATTGAGCCTTTGTTTTTTGTCGCTTGGAAGTGTGCGCCGAGGCTACGTCACGGAGCGAGGCGCGCACGGAGGATCAGATGTTACCAGATCAGGTGTTGTGCGGCCAGCTGTTCGCAACGGCTCCAAAGAGCCACCTCGAATCATGTAAGCAGGTCCCACTTGCACATAGGCGCCTTCCGCCGGCAAGGTGGCCTTCACAGTCCGACGGCACGACGGCCCGTGGGAAACTACGCCGCGCGCCACTGGCAGGAGAGGTGGAATGGGTGGGAGAGGTGAACGAGGAGGGAGAGAGGAGGAGGAGGGTGAGGAGGACGAGGACGAGGAGGACGGGAAAGTCGGCGAATGACGAGGAGGAAGTTGACGAGGGGCCAATGCAGAAGATGGGAGTGGACGAGGAAGACAGGGAGGACATCGTTTCAAGGTTGTGCGCTCAACGCTGCACGCCCAGTGGTACACATAGTTCATTTATAAGTATTCGAAAGTTATTTGATTTTTTGGGGGCCCAGATCCTTTCATTTCTAATTGTTCTATCCTGGGCCTCTTCCTGGTCACTAGGGGGTCAGGAACAGTTCGAAACGAGCACAATTAGAAATGGGCACGATTAGAAGTGAACGACGTGTAGGGTCTTTAGACCGGAGGCCGGTACACACACTTTGCTCCGCTGGGGACGCAGCATGCTGCAGTGTAGGACGGCCCTTGCTGCGCATGGTTAAGCACTAGTAATAGTATGGTATGAGCAGGGTCGGGGGGATCGAAACTGGAGACGGGGTCAGGGGAAAAGGGAGAGCGGGGAGGTGGACGAGGGAGAGGAGGACGAAGGTGGGATATTACTTGGGTCTGCTGCGACTTTCAGACTCCTGCATGTGTTGGACCCGCCCCTAAGAACTACAGGCAGCTCGACCTCTGTCATTCTTTCGCCTGGGCACATGCGCCGCCAGGCTGTTGCATGCCTATTCTTCGCGTTAGCGGCTTGTCAGCGACAAGCAAATCCGTGCCACGAGAGCGCATTGGTTTCACCCGCGTGGTTCGACGAGGCAAACGAGAATACCGCATTTCGATGGGAAGTAAGGCGGCGTCTGGTGCTCACCTTTGAGAGGTTCAGTGCTTGACCTGTTGTTCAGCTGCTTGCTGTCACCCTTGCATCAGTGGCTCATAGGGTGAAGACCAGCGAACATTTTACACACTTGCTCTGTCGAGGATGCAAGTCCTAGCATTGAGTCCGTAACGTTCCATGTTGGATGCAAGCGCCGCGCCGAAGTGACGCACCCCGCTGCGCAGGGGGAGCAGGAAGTGGGAAGAGGATGGGGAGGATGAAAAAAACCAAGGCCAAGAAACGCTGGGGACTCCAAGTCAGATAGATGAGAAGCAAAACTGGAGGGCCTCAAACGGGCCACACTAGACGTCCCTGTGCTGGCGTCAGGCCGCAAGTCCAAACATTCGTTCGGGGGCCCTCCGGTGGAGGGAGCCACCCCCGCTTGTCCCGAGGGCGAGCCCCCGAGCGCGGTGTGCCACGCGGGGCCCCCGCGGACACCGGCCGTGTCTGCGACCCCGGCCGCGACTGCCGCCGCGACTGCCCGGCCCCGTCCCACCCGTTCCCACCACAAGCCTCGGGGGCGGAAAAGAGGGGGGTGATGACTAGGGGGGGGTGGATATCATGGTGGGGGCCATGGTATCTCCCCAGATCTTGTGGCGCCTCTTCTTATTTCATTGCGTCCCTGGCCCCCCCCGCTGGGCCGCGCACATGCCGCCGGTCATGATTTGCACCCCCCCCTCTTTGACACCCCCCTCTTGGGCGCTCCCACAAGCCCATCGCCTCCCGTCCCCGCGCGGATGTCTTCGACAAGGCCGCGCTGGAGGAGCTTGCGAAGGCGAACGCTCTGCTGGAGCGCCTTCTGGGAGCTCACACTGAGCTTCGCACTGACACAGCCGACCTTGCCGCTTCTTGTCATGCACCATGAGCGCAGGCCGCAAGCCGTCGAGCATCATCTTCAGTCGCGTAATCGGGCCAACCGTACACACGACGAGTTGTATGCCCTGGGTGTGCATGCGCCAGCACATCGAACAAAGAGACCGACCCACTCCCAGCATTCAGCTGACTCATTTCGCCGCCACTCGTCTGTACTGTCTGACCCTCGTACACGCCGGTCGTTGAAAGTAGGTATTTTTGGATTCCTAGATCCCAATCTACTTCAAGCGCCTTCCTACTTCAAGAATCGACATGCTTTTGCTGTGTTTTGTTATTCTCTGGGGGGACCTGGACCCAATCTACTATATCCGCCTTCCTACTTCATGATTCTGCCTACTTCTTCCGACCGACGTGTAACTGAACGTGGACTTCAAACCACCACGATGGCATCGGCCTGCGGAGTGCCAGCAGCAACCAGAGCCCCCTCGTGCGGACATGCTGCCAGCGGCTGCCCTCCGCCCCCGCGGCGCGGGCGGCCTGCCTCTCCGCGCCGGGGGGGGGGGGGGGCGGGCGGCACCGCGCCTGCGCGGGCCGGCTGCCGCGTGGCAGAGGGCGGGCGCTCCCGCGTGGAGTCGGCCCAAGCTTGGCATCGCTCGGGCGTGTGCATTTTTCCTTCGACGAGGACCACCATCGAGGAGAATCCTTCATCATTTGGCGAAAAAAATCACGCACGAGACCGAAGAAAATACAGGGAATGGACGCCCGAGCGATGGCCAGCAAGGGCCCATTCATCGTTCTGGTGGGTCCCACTCGACAGCTGGCTCTGCCCTGCAACATCGGACACCACAGCAGCCATGCGCACCACTCGCGAGCCTCGCCTGACGATCTGCCCCTGCTCAGGATCGGCACGGTCTGCCTCTCGGGCGGGCCCCTTTGGTGCAGCGCCCACGAGGCAGTCGTGCTCGAAGCTGGATGGCTCTGACTGGGCGCCCGAGGGAGAATCGGGCCCGGGCGAAAGGGGGGGATTGGGAAAGGGGGGGGTTACGAAATTTGCTGCATGCAGCTGGTTTCGGCTTCACCGAGGGGCCCATTCCTCGATACATAGCCGCCTCCGGCGCCGGGAGGCGCCGGGAAAATCAGCTACGTGAGCTGATTCTCAACCCCCCCCTTTGCTATCCCCCCCTTTCGCCCGACCCGAGAGAAGCGTCGTGGCTGCAGACCGTCAGTTTGGCTTCGCCCTCCACCGTCTTGCCTGCGGTCCCCTTCGGCTGCTGCACCGAGGAGTGTGCCACGTACTCCGGGCCGTACGTAGTTGCCTGGCTTCTGGTGGCCATGGTTCTGCCAAGGGCCAAAACTCGTTCCTGGGTCCTCCGCCCGTGCCAGCTTCTTTCTCCCCTGCTGCTTTCTTTCATTCGGCGGCGAGCCCGGGAGGAAAGTGAGAAGGGGCAGGCCTTCTCAGAAGGCTCGGAAACCCACCTGGCCTTCTGACAAGGTTTCTGAGATGTCCTTGGAGACACACCACAACTTCCCAGAAGGCGCGGGGACTTCTGAGAGATCCCGCCGCCGTCTGAGAAGGCCTTTTCCTTCTCGTTTCCCCCCGTGCTCGCCGCCAAGGCATGATCTTGGAGAACGCCGTGGCACGTGGCTGGCCCATGGCTCCGAGGACGGCGCTGCCGTCGGTCTCGTGCGCTCCGCCAGCTCCGCCACCACCTTCGTGTCGTAGCCGTGGGCCGCCAGCCCCGCTCGCGCGAGAGGGTGCTCCTCGGGAGCGAGGTGGGTCTTTTCCCTCGTCGCTCTCGAGTGCCGCAGGCGGCGCCTGAGGCGCCGCCAGGGGTGTCCAGCGCGGATCCGAGAGATCCGCATGGACCTCCGAGCTTTTCTGTTTACGTCATTGTTTGTCCCCCTATGTTTGCGGCGGTTCGGTGCACAAGCAATCGCACTCACGCATCCCCTCTCGCCACCCACCAAACCACCCCAACCCAACCCGAAGGCCTCAATGTGCCCTCCAATTCCAATGTTTGGGGGGGGAACACCGAAAACACACACACACACACATGGAGCCCGTATGTACCCCCCCAACCCGAGAGTCAGGTCTTCGGGTCGGGTTTTGGGGTGGTCTGGTGGGCAGTCACCCTCAGGGTCACCCCCTTTCTGGTGGATCCCGATCTTGCTCGGGCGCCCGCTGCGGCTGCCGGCGCCTCCGCCGCCGGCGTCTGCCCCCGTGGCCTCTCTCTCTCGCTCTGGCGGCCGGCGCGCCGTCGGTCGTGCGCAGGCCGCACGCCGCGGGGGGCTCGGAGGGGCCTCTCCTCCCCGCCCTGGAAAAGAGTCCCAGGAGGGATCGCCGATTCCACGGAAAGCGTGGGAAGACGTGGGGAGTGGGGGGGGAAAAGGAGAGCCCAGAAGATCTGCGAAAGTGTGGTGAATCCTGGGATTTGCGTGTGCGCCTTTGTGTGTCCTCGGGCCCCTTTAGTAGAAGGGACCCGTGCCCCACGCCCTTCTCGGCGGCGAGGGCGGGCATGGCGCAGAAGTTGCACTCGAGGCCGAAGCGGTCGATGAGCACAGGCGTGCTCAGGCGATCGTTTTCTTATTTGTTGTTTTGCCGATCGGCGTGGGCCCTCGCACCCCCCCCCTGCTCATCCTCCTCCTTCTCCTCCTGCTCCTCCTCCTCCTCCTCCTCCTCGTCCTCCCCCTCCTCCCCCTCCTGCTCCTCCTCCTCCCTCCTCCCTTCCCCTCTCCTCCTCCTCTCCTCCTTCTCCTCCTCCTTCCTCCTTCTCTCTCCCTCCTTGCTCTCCTCCACCTCTCTTCCGCTCCTCTCCTCCTCCTCCCTCTCTCCTCCTCCTCCCCCCTCCTTCCTCTCCTCTCCTCCCCTCTCCTCCTCCTCCACCTCCTCCTCCTCCCTCCTCCCCTCCTCCTCCTCCTCTCGTCTCTCCTCACCTCCTCCTCGTCCTCCTTGCTGCTCCTCCTCTGCTCCTCCTCCTCCCCTCTCTCTCCCCTCCTCCTCCTCCTCCTCCTCCTCCTCCTCCTCCTCCTCCTCCTCCTCCTCCCCCTCCTCCTCCTCCTCCTCCTCCTAAACCTCCTCTTCCTCCTCCTCTTCCTCCTTCCCTCCGAGGAGTAGATCTTGGCTGTTTTAGGCGCCTGGTTCAAGCAGGTGGAGTCTTCTTGACTGGGCGCGCTGCTGCAAACGGCGGCATGAAGCAGAGGTCCGGATCCACACACAAACACACACACACACACCTCCAACCCCCTTGTCGCTCAATGTCGAAACGCCGAATAAGAGAATGCTCAGCAGCATACGTTTCCAAGAGCGGCCAGTTCGAGCCACAGAGGCCGCAACGCACGAGCTCCACGGGTACCAGAGGTCTCAGGGTCGACGCTGTCGCTGCCGACCATCTGCCGCGAATGAGGGCCACATGGAGGCGTGTTCGAGCTGTCTTGCGGTACCAGAGGATCTCCCCACATGACATGCATTGATTCGTGACTGTGAGGATTTGCCACAACTTAAGAGCTCAGTGAACGTGCCGAGAACAGTGCACGAGCCCTCTCTCAGATGCAAACGCGGCCCCGCAGGGCCCTTCATCCAGTGCCCACGAGCAGACGTAAGACGAAGTATTATTGAGGGCATCTTCGTCCAAGGTAGCTAGATCCCCATGCTGAAACCCAGGGGGGGGCACCTCAACATCAAAATATCGACTCCTCAGATCTCCAACCTCCACTCGAATAAAGTCCTGACCTACCTCGAAGGTGAACAGCTTAAGCAGCGACCCTGCCGCCCTGGCCCAGCAAGAGGCAGCCTCCTCACCCCATCGGGTAAGTTCAAGCACATCATAGTGGAACTGCCGAGCTCATGGAATCGTCCCAGATGATAGAGACCCATCGGCAAGAAGACCCCCTCCTCATGGGACGTCGCGCGCACGCCTGAAACCATCGTAATCCTCGAATCCGGAGCTCACTCGCGAGTGGCACCAACTTCCACCACCTGAGGACCTCCGTCGTCATGCTCCTCATCTTGCCGTCCTCCCCCTCCCACGTCGCTTCGCCTCGCATCGCGCGTCTAGCCAGGCCAGCCACCGCCGACTCCAGAGTGCGAACATGTGACGCAGTCTTGATAAATGCTTCAACTCCTGACAATGCTGTGTTGAGGACATCTGACAAAGAAGCACGCAACGATGAGGAACACGTTTTTGAATCCAGGAATGTCCAAGACGAGATAATGCCATCTTCATCGCCTTAACTCGCTTCAACAGCTCGGCACTGAATGACTGAGTCCAGGCGAGGTACGGGCCAAGGTAGCGGACCTCGTCGGACACTCGTCCCCAGAGCACGACGTGTTTCAGCAGCACGTCTAGGATAACTAGGGGGCACCTGTCTACGGGTGCTTCCTGCTTGCCTACATTCTTCCAAAGTCTTGTGGTATCCAACTCCTCGTCGGGCATCTGAGTGCTCGTTGTCAACAAGTCCCGGAAACGATCCGCCCGAAACGGAGGCCCCACAACGATCTCCTTGAGCAGGTCATCGGCAAACGTTCGGAGCCGCAGAGATCGACCCTCGGAGACCCCAGACGGACATCTTCAGGAATAGTAGCCAACAGACACTCGGGGGCGGCAGAGAGGGGGTTGATGACTAGGGGGTGGTGGATTGCATGGCGCGGGCCATGAGTTTTCCTCAGGTTTCATGGCGCCTCTTCTTATTTCATTACGTCCCTGGCCCCCCCCTTGGGCCGCGCACATGCCGCCGGCCATGATTTGCACCCCCCCCCTCTTGGACACCCCCCCCTTGGCCGCCCCCGAGACACGCCTCCCCCTCCGCACCGTACTCCGGGAACCTCTTGAGCCACTTGTCGACAGGAGGCCTAAATGCCCTTACGAAGGAGCTCACCGCGTATGGGTCCCCCTGAAGGCTACGACACTCAGGTCTGAGGAAAAGAGGGCCATCCGACGCCGGCAGCTGTGAGCATCTGTGGCGCTGGCGGCAAAAACGAACATCCCTCGGGGGAAACCAGTGTGCTGCACGCCTGGTCTAGCTAGGTCCACTCCGAGACGCAAACACGTTCGTGAGGTCTCTAAGAGAATCACACCTCGAGAAGCCTGATGCCGAACGTCTCCAGGACGAGCACACTTTTCTTATGATGGCATCCCCCTTCCTTCGAAACCTCAGGAACCCGTGGTCGCAGTCCGTGTCGGTATATCTGGGCCCAAGCCTCGTGAGGCTTTCAAAGAAATCTTTGGTCACGGGATCTGGTTTCTTTCGAGGTCCAGGAAGAGCTGTTTCTGGTATCGCCAGACCCTCGCTGCAGTTCCAGACTGACTGCACCGTACCCCAATAACGAATCATCACGAAAAGCTTAGGTGTCCACCGCCGTCTTCCAGGAGCAACAGTGATGGTACTACCCGTACCCAAAATCCCGTCACAATCCCATTCGAAAGAGCAGCCTCACGAATACGCAGAAACACTCGTCATGCTTCCATAGGCAGCGGCCGCGGTGTAAAACACTTCTCCGCTCGGCGGCCCTCCTCGCACACCGTTGCAAGTGCTCCGCATGGATCATCGCCTGCCTCCGGGCCAAGTGGATCCTCTCAGAGCGCCTGCCCAGTGTCGGTGGAGGCCAGCGTCAGAACTGTCTCGAGTCGTGCATCCCTCCTCCCTCCTCCCTCCTACTCCCTCCCTTCCTCTCTTCCTCCCTCCATCTTCTGCCACACAGCCCGATGTGCTGCCTGACCGCCCTGACCCCCAGGAAGTCGGGACACTGCCAGCCACTCGTCGGAGCTCGGTAACATCCCATCCAAGCGAGGATGACCCTGTCAGGCTTGTCCGAATCGACCTCCGGCCAGCCCGAGGGAAAGATTGTGAGTCGTTGCAAGATCACGGGGACGCCAGACCTGCCATATCTCTTCCACCAACTGCTCATGTGTGCGTTTGCGTTCGTCTCGACATATTTTCTGGTGTATCTGAGAGATTGCCTTTAGCTCACCGCGACACGCCATGGACTCAGTATCTGAGGTCCCCGGGTGCAGCCCTGCCTTCAATTCATGTCGTCGTAGAAGCTCGAGCATTCGATTTGCCCAATCTGACCGTCGAGGCCATTTCCGAGCACCACGTTCAAAAAAATGTGCACCCACATCTCTCAGTACACCGTCCAGGTGATGCAGCAGAAGATCGGACTCAGGTTCCTGCTGTTCCCAGGCCAGCCAGTCTAGCTCCAGACGCTGTTCCACCTCCAGAACCAACCCTTCACGAAGAGGACCCCCTCGAAGATTTCCCATCAACTGATCACGATCCGAATGTACACACTGATGTTTTTTTCCATCAGGTGAGACCAGCGATGATGTGCGATGAGCTTCAGGAGCATGAGGCATTTGCATTTTAACCAGCACTGGGACGTGGTCTCTGGGCTCTCTACATCTGATCGCCTGAATCTGTCTTCCAAGCCCGTGTATCGGGCTTGCCATCAGAATCTGCTCACTCCACTCCAGCGTGACAGCCACGAAGCCAATCATCGACATTTCGCCAACCGACCCGAAGAACGTTGGCCAGATCGAGCGAACCGTTGTGGGGACAAACAACCCATATTCATTCAGCACCTCAAGAAAACACTCGCCCACTCCACCTCTGTGATATCCACGTTGACGAGCAGGCCCCAGGGAGGACCGTCGAATTTGCATTCAATTCACAGTCAACTTTCGCAATACCCAGACCGTCATTGACGCCCCCCATGACAATCGGAGATACCCTCCTGGCAGAACCCGAAGGATGTCCCAAAGCCAGTCTCGAATCTTCTCATAGGCGGCCAGGTGTTGTCTAACCTGCTGGGCTTTGTTCGGTTTCGGCAGGAACTACACAGTAGGGAAAAATAGACACATAGAATCGTCGACCCCCAGGAAATATGGGAAGACTTGGGAAGTGGGGGAACACGAAAACCCGGAAAATATTACAACACATGCGGAATCTTGGGATTTGCGTGGATTGGTTTGTGTGTCCTTGGGCCCCTTCAAGTGCACAGCCACCACGTAAACCGGGCACCCATCCCGAGACGTCACAGCACCCGGACCGCGCCCCTGAAGAGGCCGAGGGGGGGGGATATCCATACTAAGGCGGAGGAGACGTCGGAGTCCACTTCCACGGCAGGGCCAGACAGCAGCCCGCGGCCTTGTATCCGACACAGACACCCTCCGACAAATTTGGCATGTACTTCAAGGCAGGTGGCTGTGTATAGAGTCGCTGGCTCGCAATTGTGGTTTGTACACCGCCTCGCTCTCCTGAGGCCCAAGAGCAATCCATTGGAGGGTGTCCGTGTAAGTGTTTGTGTGGCAGATTGTAGAAGAAACCCACCACCCGCAAGCCTGCATGCATACACGACCACACGATCTGCAATTTGGCGGTGCGGTAGCCCTCTCCCTCGCACTCCTTGGTGTGAGTGCCTGGCAGTCCGATCAAATCAGACTTCTGAAATGTGCTAAGTGGACTAGGGCTGGCCCATGATGCCCAAGGTATGTCAGGATACAGCAAGCCATAAGCGTGGTGTCGTTAGTTTGCTGTGCCGCGCAGCTCAGCCGAATCCGAGCGGCTGCTTGGGGGAGGAGGAGGAGGACGACGACGACGAGGAGGCGTCACGTTGGCCGGGTCGAGCGATCCAGCGGGCCCCGCCCACTCCCACCCTCTCTTCCGTAACATGGGCATCGATGGTGGCACACCGTGGTATGGAGCGTGGAGCTCGCTCCCACCTGGCGAGCGGAAGGCGCTCGCACGCGGTCCGCCTCCGACGATCTGGCCAAGAGAACAATGTGCGCTCTGGCCGCGCACGGGCGGGAGCGGGGCTGCCGAGGGTCCCTGCGCGGCCCCGCGGCGAGGGCGCCAGTTTTGTGGCCCTCCCTGGGGCGGTGGGGTCTCCGAGGGGCGTGGCGAAGACGAAGCATGCGCCGCGCCGAGCCAGCACGGCCACTCTCACACGCACACAGACACACACACACACTTTGGCGTCGGCGGCTGGGCAGAGGTCGACTGCTCCGGCGGAGTGGCAACAAGGGGGCACGCCACACACACACACATTTTGGCGTCGGCGGCTGGGCAGAGGTCGACTGCTCCAGCAGAGCGGCAACAAGGGGGCACGCTGCATGCAAATGAAGGCCGCAATGCGCGGGAGGAACATACACACACACACACACACACACACGCACACACACACACACACACGCACACACCCACACGCTTTTGGCGGTCGCGGCCTCGGGGGCTTCAGCGCAGCCTCAAGTCGCGAGGCGCGGGTCGCCCCTCACAGGGGGTTGTGCTGTCAGTTGGGCGATACTGGGGAGGAGGAGGTCAGTGATTTTGCCGGCTGTCGGTCACGCTGCTTCCGGAGCGTACACGGATCCAGTTTTTGAGTGCGTTTCAAAACCGTTGTTCCATCCCATTGTTGGCGTTCTTACAGCAGTAACGCCAAGGGTTGAAGAGTGACGGCCAGTGTGTATTCTTGTTTGCTCTTCCTTTGCTCTGCTGGCATCTCAGCATTGAGCCTTTATCGTTCCTCTTGGAGGCAGGCGTCGTGGTGAGGAGACAAAACCTCGCTGCGCCAACAAATCAATTTGGAGCGCGGGAGGATGAGTCGGAGTCGGAGGAGGACGGTGAGAAGAAGCAAGAGGATTAGTAGAAGGACGATGGGGAGGTCGAGGAGGATTGGAAAAACGCTATTATCCTTGAACTGTTTTTTTTCACTGCCAGAGCGATGGGTGCAAGAGGAGGGGTAGGAGGAGAATGCGGAGGAGGAGGAGGATGGCAACGGGGAGAAGCATGAGGGAGATGTGGAGGGCATTTTGAGCAGGGAGGACGGAGGGAGGAGGGGGCAGGTGGGATGGAGGAAAACGGAGGGGGAGATGATGATGACGACGATGCGATTATGGATGTTCCCAGTAGATGGCAATGTTGGTCATGGTGACGATGCTGATGCTGCTGGTTCTGCTGCTGATGATGATGATGAGGATGAAGGTGATGATCATGATGATGCTGATGATGATAATGGCGATGTTGACGACGACAATGATGATGATGCTGCTGATGCTGATGCTGATGCTGATGATGATGCTGATGCTGCTGATGATGATGATGATGATGATGATGATGATGATGATGATGGTGGTGGTGCTGGTGGTGATGATGATGGTGGTGGTGAATCTAATGATGTGAATGATGATGATGATGATGCTGCTGCTGATGATGATGATGATGATGATGAAACATATTATATGATACAGAATGTGATGATAATGCTGATGAAAATGCTAATGATCATGCTGATGGTGTTGATGACGATGGTGATACTGATGTTGATGATGTGGATGAGGATGAGGGTGATGAGGATGATACTGATGAGGATGATGATAAGGAGGAGGAGGAGGAGGAGGAGGAGGAGGAGGAGCAGCAGGAGGAAGAGGAGGAATGGGAGGAGGAGGAGGAGGAGGAGGAGGAGGAGGAGGAGGCGAGGGAAAATGTGCGTGCGCCCCGCAGGGGACCATCAGCGCACCGCTTTTCTGGACAGATGCAGCTGAACGGGGTGGCGTGTGGGAGCGCCTCGGCCGAGAGGGGAGGGGGCCCTGGACGCCTGGATGTGCCCCCATCTCCTAGAGGGCCGGCACGGGCCACAGACGACCGAACACCTGAAAAGTTCTCGCCGACGCCTCTTGGAGCAGCTTGGGTGCCTCTTGGGGGTCTTTTGGGGGCCTCTTGGGGGTCTCTTGGGAGCCTCTTGGGGGCATCCTGGGGGCCTCTTGGGGCTTCCTGGCCACCTCTTGGGGCCCTCTTGGGGCACCCTTGGGAGCCTTGGGGGCCATCTTTGGGCCATCTTGGGTGATATCGATCACAGAAGGGGTGTCTAATTAGGGCCCCCCCGTCAGGAGGCCAAAACGGGGCCAAAACCTTAGTAAAACCGAATGATGTTGGCTTCCTCGCCGAGGCCGTTTTGGACATTCCGACATCTCGCGGAACCCTTTGTCCAGGTCCAGGGGAAGGGGGAGGGGTAAACCCCTCCCCGAAGGGGAAGAAGGAGGGGTGGAAGAGGAAGCTCCCTAAACCACCGACGCCCAGAGGGCTGGTGGGATTCTGGCGGGCAAGTTCAATACAGTGAGGGCGCGCACCAAGAAGCCATGTGCTTTTTGTCAGGGTGCACTGGGTTTCTTCGCTCCGCGCGCTGCGCGGTGACTTCCAGCAGCCGTTGAAGAAGCTGCTGCGTTCAGGGCGATCCGGGCTTCCCGTCGGGTGCGCATCGTGCGCGGGCTTTGAGGGTTGGGCTTCTTGCGAGGGCTTCTTGAGGCTGCGCCCACACTGTATTGCAGCGCATGCGTCTGAGGATGAGAAGGCTGCGCGGGGTCGCATGGCAGCCCCCTGAGATCCTGCCGACTCAATGTTTTCAAGCCAGGCGTTTTCGCTAAATTTCGGGCCACGGGACCCTCACGGATCGATCCGGCTTGAAAAATGAAGCAGACAGATTGGGTCTGGGGGGTCGGGCGTGATTTTGTGCGATGTTGCATTTTTTCCTGTCTGCCATCATCAGGGCCACAGCGGCCCCCCTGCACGCCCAGCTGCCACTGTACGCGGTGGCGCGGTTGGGTTGGAGGTCTTTCCTTCAGCACGGGCACCACGGCCCCCAGTCAGCAGCAAGGTCGGCACATCAGAGTGGTGTATGGCGCGTCGGCGCCAAGACCGCACTGGAAGAGAGGACCTTGACCTGGGCGCACGCCTGGGCGAAGCAGCGATTGTAGCAGGAGTCATCATGCAGCCCTGGCGCTCGCTGTCCTGCAAGGACATCCCTTGCACATCTCGTGGTTTCTTCCGCACCTCTTCTCCAGCACTCTGCACAGATTGGAACACATGGTCCCCAAGCGGGGCTCGCATGCTGACGCTCCATGTATTGCCCAAACGGTGCTTGCACTCAGGGGATTTTGTTGAATGCGTACACAATTGGGTCTAATGGGTAGGGCCCAGCCGTGGTTAGCCCATTTGGTCCTGCCAGTTGGGCGACGCCACAAAACGAGGTCGTCTGCGCCGCCATTGGCGCGCAAGCTG